ATGTGCGGGATGGGAGAGGAGAGGTTGCCGAGAATTGTATGGGAAGCGAAGTGGGCAAACAAAAAGAGGGGTAGACAACCCACGGAAGGGATCAAGGTTGCAGAGGACGTATGAAAGGGGCTCGACATCGACGAGATGAAACGCTGGAAACGGAGGGTCTACAGGGGTTCAAGGAGAAGATACCTGTTGCTTGTGCCTAGAGAGAACAGAATCTAAAGAAAGAAACCAAGGATAAGGAGGGTCTAGAAGTGTACGGAATGTTAAAGGAAGGAATAGAGTTCAAGGATTACCTACATGCAACGGATGCAGGAACAAAGCTTAAGGTCAAATTCAGGACCGGGGACATAGATCTTCGAGAACGTCGACGAAGACATAGGACGGTAGACGACGAAAACGACGAGTTCAAATGTGATTGCGGCTTCGAATGCGAAGACCGTGTTCATGTAGTCGCGGAATGTCCGTGGTACAAGTAGCAGAGAAAAGTGTACGTGACTGAGCTGGTAAAAATACAAGGAACGTACAGGGAGATTTTTTTTCTTCTCCCATCATTGGACTCTGTCGTCTGCCCCTCTGGCCCCTATCCTCCACTTCTACTAGCTAGACGACCCAACCGGGGTCACATAGGAGGGGGGGGTTGGACCCCCTCCTGCGGTTCATGTATGAGGCATGGAATAGAGAGGAAAGGACGGTAGCTGTACTGGGGCATAGGAGGTGGGTTGAAAAGGCGGCAAGGGATATCGTGAGGATAGACAGACTAAGGAAGACATTTTTGAGCCACCTTTGGCAGAGTTGAAAGGAACGATTGGCCATCAGTGATCGGTTCCTTGGGAACAATGCTCCGTCCTCTCGAGGACGCGTGGTCAATGGTCTAACCGCTAAGGCATGCAAAACATGAGAGTANCCCCCCCCCCCCCCATTGTCAAACCAGTCAGCAAATGGGAAACCACGCAAGTTCACCCGAAACAGCAACTACCAGCGCGGAGCGGATCCACCAGCCGTCTCGCAGCGGGCAACAGGCCCGAGTATTTGCGCCACGGCTAACAACGTCAGCTTCAGCACTTCACACCACCCATATGAGACATCTCGATATGACGTGGCGTGGTCGTTCTACTTTTCTCGAGCAAGCGAGCTGACCCGACGGAGAAATAGTTGCAACAGCATCCTCGGGGCTTCAGGGAGGCATACAAATAGATAGATATATCTTGGGGGCTTCAGGGAGTTCATACTAATAGATAGATGTCTCGTTGGGAGACCTCTTCGGACGAATGACCACGCCAAAGTGCCCAAGTAAAAACAAACTACTTGCAGGTACTGGCGGCGTATTCGCATTGTGTGGCATCAGACGTCCTGGAAGAGGCGGACGGCACCGTCTGCGCCGGCGGTGAAGACCCAAGGTTGACGAGGGTGGAACGCCAGAGCCATAACCCCTAGGCCGCCGGTAACCTGGATGTCAGCGACGTTGGGCAGCAGGGGGGGAGGGAGGGATGGACAAACGACGCATTACTCGTGAACCGTCACCAAATTGAAAAAAAAAAAAAAAGGGGGAGCAGGGAGGAAGGAGGGACCAACGACGGATTTATTGTGAATCGTCACCAATTTGTAAAAAACGTAGAACCGCGAGCATGCTTTACATACAGCTTGTGCCAACATACGTCCAGCTGGACTACTCTACTGAAGACGTCACCCAGTCCCTGGTATGGCAGCAGGTCCCTGTGCGTTGTGTGGTGTGAAGTCTCCCGACACTCTACCCTGGATTAGCGAAAGCCGCCGAGCTTTGAGAGAGGTACCAGAAAATTCAATAGATCGCCTGCATCCAGGCTCGCGGGTATAGACTACAGTCGTCCCCGCACTCTTCTTAAGGAAACTCCCCGCTATAAAGACACATTTTTTCCCCAGAACATGGTGCCCCGCAGATGTACAATAATATAGGGGGGTAGCATTTCCGCTATGCGGCCCCCCCCCAAAAAATTGCTGGGGCAGCAAATCTGTAAGGCATTGTAACATCGACAGCGGTCTGCTGCAGCCCGCACTACTGCGTGTGGGTATGGAGAGATTCCTCCCATCTGCTGGCGGGTCGTCAGCTGCCGGCTTGAGGCCATGTGGCGAACCCACGTGCCAGCAAAAGTCTCAACTCGTGTCAGCGGTTCACCAGTGCCCTTGCGGGCGATCCATGCACGCGTTTTGTGGTCGGGGCATCGGAGAGGAAGGCTACGGACAGCAGAGAGAGTGCTCGGATTGCCAGAAGAGCAAAGGTGGAGACCAGGCTGGCAGCAGCAGCAGTCCCATGGAAGTGGTCAAGAAGATGTCCTTGCCGGAGAGTGCCAAGGACTTGGACGCTAGGTCCATGCCGCGAGTGTTGTCGGACAACTTGTTCGTCGAGAGCACCTCCGGCCTCACTGAACAAGAAGTGCGGAGCGCAGTGAGCACGTGGCTTAGTGTAGAGGACGATGAAGAGGTCTTGAGGGAAGAGGTAGAACTCGAGATGGAAGAGGTAACGGAGAACATGTCAAGAGTACACGTCGAAGACGACGTGTCCAGTGAAGAGGAAGACCAGGACGGTAGGCAAGAGTCGTGCATGACATCTACGATTTCAGAGGCCGAGGTTCGCTCTCGTCTCGAGGATGTCCGCTCCTATTTGTACGCGAACGGAAGAGACGGCGAGTACAGCGAAACGGTGTACCTTCTTTCGAAGACTGTGCATTCGTTCACTCATGAAACTCAAGTCAAGCGAAGAACGAAGGAGGGGGGTGAGGTGCAGGCGACTCTTCGGGATGTGTGGGCGACGTAGTTTTTGGTGTTTGAGGACAACACACTTGGCAGCCCACATTCATTGTTTGGGATTTTTTTGCCTTTCTCGTGGAGTTAAATTTTGGCATTTTTTGTTTTGAGTTTTTGCCTCGTGTTGACCTTTGGGGAAGAGCGGTGTTCTCTTTTCGGTGGGTTTGCCCGATTTTTTGTATGTTGTGGTCTGCGCTACCGACCGTTTCCTAGTGTCCCTCAGATCCCTCTAAGGGGTCGACTGGGTTTGTTTGGTCCCTATGTGGCAGGTAACTTGCGTGTATCGTATCAGAGCTAGTTCCAACAAACTGATGTGTCTCAGGTGTGTTCGCGATATCACGGGCATGATGTTCACCGTGAGGACAACGCCTTGACAATAAGAAAAGCCTACAACAACACCAGCGCACACTGCCGTACACATTACAATAGGTCGTGCTGTACTCCTTCCCGCGTTTCGGTGGTGGAGGGAAATTCAAAAATGTGTACAGTATTGGAGTACAGCAGCAGTAGTGTTGCGGCCTTCAATTGACGTGTTGTGCTGCTTAAAATTTCGTGGTCGCATTCCTGCTTCAAATGCGCGTATGTTGACACATGTTACACCTCCATTGACCCCGGGGACGGTGAATTAGTGGCCCCGGAATCCTAAAGACACTTCCCCGCGTTAAAGACACTCCAAAAAAAAAACGCGGTGTGTCTTTAAAGCGGGGTCGACTGTATTCCTTCATGTCATGCCCCCATAGGGTAACAGACAGGGTAGGGAGCAACTCTTGGCCCAGCGCTAGTATGTTCGGTTTGTCTGGTCCCTTGAACGCCAGCCTTCGTGCCCTCGTCTACCCGCTGAAACAGCGTTAATTCGCGCGATGGATAGCACAGCAACAATACAGCATCGACTAACGAAAAACGAACTGCGCCGTGCCAAATCTCCTCATGTCACACGTGAAAATAGCGCACACCACGTTCGTCTAGTTGTTGCTATTGTCTTCACGAAAAAAAAAATTCCGGTCTCCGCTTAGTACCAATACTCCCGTAAATCGTCCGACAGATCGATTGGGCAACGCCCTGAACTCGCACCCAATGCGGCACACACCCAGAACAGGTACAACACTCTCGCATGTTTATCTACCGCCGTGCTCCCTTTATCTAAAGATCTCCTATTGAGCCACCCATTGACATAAGTGGCAAAACATAGTTTCACCTCGTGCCCCCTCAGGATCTTGAGCGGTACCACCAGGGGATTCCTGAGAAGGTCCGAGTAGACAGTGGCGTGGAACACGTGGACGCTGCCGTCGTCGCCGGCCGAGGCCATCAGCGGGTAGTGCCGGTGGAACTGCGCTGCCCGTACCGCCTGTAGATTTTCGTTTCGCCACCACATTTGGCAGTTTCGATTTCAAGTGAACGCCGGGGACATAGGCGCGCGCGCGCGTGGGGGGGGNGGGGGGGGGGGGGGGGGGGGGGGGGGGGGAGTTGAGTGACGCCTCGAAAAAGATGAGGTAGCTTAGTGGCAATGGGCGTAATGTTGTACTTTGTGCTCGTGTATGATCAAACCTATCCACATTGGCGACACAAATGAGCGAATCGAACCAAAGTACTCTCCATGCCTCCCTTGTCCAAGAACATACAGATCGGGCTAGCCACGGGGATCTACGACGAGCGTGTGCTAGGCATCTGTATCTCCCTCCACTTTTCCTGTCCTGTACGTCCGTCCTCTCGAGAGGTTTTTACTTTTCGAGAGAGAAGCGCCAACGGGGGTACAGTACAGACTTCAAGTGACTGGCGGGGG